TGTGCCCAACCTGGGACCCACACCCCTGTGCCGAGCACAGGGTCATGCTCTGACGCCATGGGCTGTGTTCATCCAGGCCTCTGGCTTGCACTCCATCACTTTCCTCCGCAACTGGCTACAAGCTAATTATAGCTCCAGTACTTTCCCTCTGGAGCGGTGTTAATTACAACTTGGAGCGCCTCGCTCCGTCCAAGCCTAGCTTAAAATTCCAGCTGTCGGTAAAAATAAATCGGGGGGAGAAAGGTTGTTCCTCACTCATCATCCAGCCATTCTTACAGGGAGCAAAGATTCAGATTCTGATCTCTTTTTCCATTGGCTGCACTTTGAGTCCTTATTATATGAAAAGCAGATGTATCAAAGGGGAAAGAGGCTCCTAAATTTGTGAGAAATAAAAGCAAGGTCACCGCTGGCAGGACTCTTATGCACGAGTGCACTCGCCATTGTTTGCAACCAGCCGAAAAGAGGTGCAGCCTTCCATTCATTCTGGACTTAGTAACCACTGGGTGTTGCCAAAGAAAGGAAAACAAACAAGCTTGAGACTCAGACAGACCGAAACCTGAGCAAAAGGGGGCTGTGTAAAACACCAGCCTGCAAAACCTCTCATTCAGAAGCATCGCTGTGGGGGATGGAGCGATGCGTGCCTTCTATGCAGATTGTACATGACCTGGAGGGCTCCTAGAGATGACTTCAGGATTCTCAGAAATATCAAAGGAATAGTGACAGGCAGGGCTGACTCATAAGATTAAAATAACCTGTGTAAAACGTGCCTGAACACAGCAAAGGGAAGGATGTTGCAATTTTCTATGAAAGGCACTTTAAAAGGGCTTTGTGATGCAAGACAGTAACAGTTAAAAAAAGAGCTACATTCAGGCGCCAAAAAAATGCTTTTTAATGACGAGAAAGCCTTTACCAAAACAATGGCTATCCATCAGGAAAAGCCATTAGGTGTGACAACAGGGCAGTTCCCTCGTCAGCGGTGGGATTAGCACTGTAAATGAGTAACCCAGCCCGGGAGGCAGGGCTCACACTGTCTCCACATCACAGCCCGGAACGCCGAACGGGCTGCATTGTGCCCTTATCGCCGGGGCTCTGGCCAGCCCCTGCCCCAATCCCCACCGCTGGCACCCTCATCGGGCACCCTCACACAGGCGCTCCCCAAAGTCGCTCGGGCTCCGAAAAGCAGGAAAGCAAACTGCAAAAGCAGCGAGTCGGAGAGAAGCCGTGCTGCTCCTGCCAGAACCCCTGGAGCACAGAGAAAACAGGCAACTGTGTTAGGTGTCACAGTTGCGCTGGCCTAGATCACCAGAGCCACACGGAAAGCGGGGACAAACGGGGCTTGTTTTCCTGGAACGATCCAGCGACTTCTAGAGCATCACCAACCACCCCCGCGCCCGCCCCACATGCTCCTCGGCCAGGCAGAAGGGCCAGGCCAAGCACTGCCAGAAAATCAACTGCTATTTAAAGTACAGTGTAGGAGACCGCACATACTACCATTTATATTTATATTTATTACTAGTCGGCACCTGACCCCAGCTGGCCGCCTTGGCCCCGGCGGGCGCGCAAGGCGCATGCGCCGCACCCGGCGGGCCCGTGTCCTTTTAAAGGACACGCTGCTCAGCACCCGCCGGAAGTGCCCGTTCTCCGTACCGGAAGTGGCTTCACCTGCCAGTAACACCGGTTCTTCCGGGAGGGGCCGGCTTGCCCGGTTCCCGCGCGGCCGTTGCTTTCCGGCGCTCTGCCCCGCCCCGCTCCGCCCTCGCTTGACCTCTGTGTCCTTCTCCGGGAGGCTCTTCCGCTTCCTTCCGCATCCCGCGCCTTTCCTCGCCTCTGCGAGGTGAGCTCATGGTGGAGTGGAAGTGCGGGCCAGCAGGGGGCGCGCTGGCCGCGGAGTGGCGCTCTGCACGGCCGACTTCCGGGTCTCTGTGTCCAGAGGGATCGGAACTCTTCATGGCGCGGCCGCGCCGGGCCCGGCGGGAGGGCGGGGGTGGGGGAGCGCCGCTGCCCCGGTGAGGAGCCGCGGGCCGCCGACATGGAGCCCGAGACGCTGGAGGCGCGCATCAGTGAGTGCGGCTGCGACCACCGCTCCCCTCCCAATGGGGCGGGGAGGGCGCGGCGGTGGGGGGCGCAGGGGTGTGCGGGAGAAGGGCTGGGGGTCGCACGTGGTGGCCGTGGCTGCGGGCGAGACCCCAGGGCCGAGCCGGAGGCAGGGGTACCGTGGGTCAGCAGGGAGGAGGGGCGAGAGTTTGTGCACAGGGCTGCCATGGGAAGGGGCAAGTGGACGCGAGTGTGTTCCTCCTCTCACGCCATCCCCTGCTGCTGCACCCGCTGGAGTTGGCAGGGGGAGAGTGGGATCAATGATGTCCCTCCAGAGGGTGGGAGCCTGCTGTTTTTTTTTTTCTCACCGTCCCCTCCTCCTGCCCGCAGACAAAGCCACAAACCCCCTGAACAAGGACCTGGACTGGGATGGTATCAATGCGTTCTGTGAGCAGCTCAATAAGGAGCTAGAGGGGTAAGTGCTTTGTCCTTTCCTCAGGCTTCTCCAGGTCACAGGCCTAGTTATGATTCCCCACCCAGCAAAATCCAGTGGGATTGTCCCAAGAGCTGAATAGGCATGAAAGCCCTCAAGGTGGGGGTAGGTGGGGGGGTCCTAGTCCACTAATGGAAAGTTCCCTCCGGATTTTGAGATGTCTCAGTGCCTTCTCAGCATCTTCAACTTGCACCATGCTTTTCAACTCTGGATTCCCCGACAGAAATGCAGGTACCAGGCTTTTTGTCAATAACCGGCAAGCTTTTCTTTTCCTGTCACTCCTTCCAGTCCTCCACTTGCCACTCGGCTTCTTGCCCACAAGATCCAGTCTCCACAGGAATGGGAAGCTATCCAGGCCCTCACGGTAAGGGCATCTGCAGGCTGGTAGAACTAGATGGAGGGGCAGGGCGTGGAGATGCTCCAGCTTGACTGGAGAAGCACAAGAAGTTTTGAATTCCCTCTGAGAAAGCCCTGGAGCACCTGGTCCCTTGGGTGGGAGAGGGACTGAAGGTGGTTCCGCAAGTCAGAAGAAGTTACTTGGAAAGGTTTTGTTCCTAGAAGGCTCATAGCCTGTTGAAGTTGGATAGGAAGCTTTTTGGCTTTTGTTGTGGTGGCCTTGGCAATGCTGTGTTAATGGTTAGACTGCATGATCTTGATGGTGTTTTCCAACCTAAAGGATTCAATTATTCTTAATCATGTTGTGGATCTACACATTGAAACCCTAGTGTTTGTGACCTCTCTAAGGGTATCCCTTTGGATAGGCTGTTGAGCCATCTCTGCAGAAACTAGCCCCAAAGACGAGAATCTTGCTTCCCTGTGGGAGGGTGCTTGACCACCTGGGAGGGAACAGGGGATGTCCCTTTGTGCTGCTGTGACAGTAGCCACAGGCTCTGTACCCGGTGAGAGGGAAGCAGGAAGGAGCTGGCTCCTGATCCTGCTGCTCACCCCATGCTGGGACTCACCTGGCCCCTCTCCCCAGGTGCTGGAGTCCTGCATGAAGAGCTGTGGCAAACGCTTCCACGATGAGGTGGGCAAGTTCCGTTTCCTCAATGAGCTCATCAAGGTGGTGTCCCCTAAGGTGGGTCTCACGGCATCATGCTGGAAGGGACTAGTGCCTGGTGGCAGGAGGGCTTTGGGAAAAAGTGGTGACTGAGTCCGCTGAGATGTGGGTGAAACAGGACAGTGTTAGTCAGAGATCTAGTCCCTGTTTCCCAGTGCATTTTCTGGTGGGAAGTGAGTTTTCACCCCTCTGTTCTAGCCTGATTCTTGTTGTAGGAAGCTGAGGGCCAACTGGACATGGTGCAGCCAGCATTTGTGAGACTACTGAGTTTATGTGCATGACTGGAGTCACCTTCCCTGCATCCCTGTTGGGCTTTGTCTGTGCTGCATGTGCTCAGGAACCTCCCCCAGCTTTGACAGGACTGTGTCTCTCTGGGGTGTCCCAACCTGATTGAGACACTCTTGGAGGACAAGCCCAGGCTTGGTCAGTGGTGTTCTGGTGAGTCCATCTGAAGGACCAAGTCATTACCTGCTCCTCTGCTGATGCTGCTGTTCCTGCAGCAGAACAAGCTGTGCAGGCTTCCCTATTCAGTCAAGGCAGTGAACACCAGCAAAAGTAGAGTTAAGGAAACACAGGCTAAATATGACTAAGGAAAACCTTTGTCTGCCAGTCACAGCTTGTGATCTGTGATGATGAATAGCCCTGGACAGTGACAGCAGCATCCTAAAGTCCTCTTGCTTGGCACCCTAGAGTATCCAGTCCTCTGCCTTAAGACACTTGTCTCTGGTGGCACACACACTGTTTCTACCACCAGTATTCCCATCAGAGCCATGTGAGAAGGCTGAAAGATGATTGCATGGCACATTCTGGGTGCTGGTCATCTGGAGCTCACCTTGCTCAGGCCCTGCCTTAAAGACCATTGCCCCCATGCCTCTCCCAGCCCTGCTGTCTTCTCATTCCTAAAGGGCTGCTTTGCTGAGCAGCTTCTTTTCACAGAACCTGTCCCTTCACAAGGTGACAGGAGACCTGCCTGAGCCTTCCTGCCTGCCCCTGTGTATTGCTGAGGAGCTGCTGCTGCAGGATTTCTCGCACCTCTTGTTTTTCCTGTGATGGAAACCAGGCACAGCATAGGATGTGTTGCAAGGCCCTCGTGAGCTTTCCTGCTTGCTTCCTCTTTCCTCCTTGTGCCATTGGGAGTGGTCTCACTTCTCCTGGGAGGGCGAGGAGAGGAACAGGCCAGACTTGCAACGGCTGAGATCAGCTTCAAGCCACCTCTTCTCTCTTCTTCTAGTATCTTGGCAGTCGGACATCTGAAAAAGTGAAGTCAAAGATCCTGGAACTGATGTACAGCTGGACATTAGGCCTGCCTCATGAGGTGAAGATATCAGAAGCCTACCAGATGCTGAAGAAGCAAGGTGAGAGGCAGTGGTCTGGAAGGGATAGGTGGACAGATGGTTTTGCTCTCCTTCACCCCTCCTTTGCCTGGGCAAAATCTGAAACAAGCTCTCCCTTCCCTCTGCCCAGACCCAGGGCATCCATCAGTTTGACTCAGCACCAGGGTCAGGAGAAGGAGCGGGTACCTTGGGGCTCCTGGTTGAGCAGAGGGAGTTGCTGGTGATGAGTTGCTGAATTGGAGGGCACATCTGCTTGCTCACATGGGAGATGGGACACTGGAAGGATCTGGGGCTGAAGGGCTGAAGTGCTTTGGCAGTATATGCTGGAATTTTCTAAGAGAAGGTATTTATGGGGAATGGAAACACAATCCAGGATCTTGGGTAACAGGAGCTAACTCACACACGCTCGGTCTCAGCTGGACTGGAAAAAAGACCTGGGTGGCAGTGCCATCCCTGAGTGAGTCCTCCTGATCTCTCCTTTGGTTTCTTCTGCAGGGATTGTGAAGTGTGACCCAAAACTTCCAGATGATGCTCCTTTTCCACCACCTCCTCCTCGACCTAAGAACATCATCTTTGATGATGAAGAAAAATCCAAGGTAAGGGCTCTGTGCAAGGAGAGAGACAGTAAGCATCATCTTCCTGCTGCAGTACCTTACGTCTCCCTGGTGTGGGACAGTCAAGGTTCCTGCTCCTTCACGCTGTCCTTCAGAAAATGCATCACAGGAATACTGAGGGCATGTTCCAAAATCATGATGAAGGAAATATCCAGAGGAGTGGGGCATGTGGGTCTGTTTGACCTTTGGAGCACTTAGCTGCAGGATGGTGCAAAGGGTGAGGCGCTGACATTGGCCCAGGCAGGTTCAGGAAGGTTTGCTGCTGTGAGCTCTCTAGACTTTGGAGTTATCACATGAGGTTTAAATCCCAGCCCCAGATGATGCTGCTGTTATCTCTTCCCCACTCCCAGCACTGCAATCTGCTTATTGCCCAACCACTTGTAGCCACCCTGGACCCATCCTCTGTTGTCTTTCCATCCCATCAGAACTGTGTCACCACTCAGGCAAACATCTGCAGTATCAGTGCTGATACATTTAAGCAAGTATTGGGCTCCTCTGGGTCTAGTTCTGCAGAAGTGTGATGCCACTTTGTTGCAAGGGATATAGTTTGCCTCCATGGGATTTGTAGGTGGGCAGTGGGACTGTTCCCTGGCTTTGGAGAGGGAGAGAAAGTGGGGGCTGTCCGTCTTCACCAGCAAAGAGGATGTGAAGATGTACGAGTAGGAGTCCATTACAGTGCCGTGGCAATTATTGTATAAACCAGCCTTTCTTCTGTCTCAGTGCTGCTGTACTCCAGACTTTCCATGTTGGGTAATGGGAAGCAGGTTTTGAGTGCAGGGGATCTTGGAAAAACCTAGCTTGCACAACCAGAAGTACAACAGGAAAAGGAGGGCCAGTTCTACTTCTCTCCCTGATCCCTGATAGCCCACAAGCTCCTGTGGCTGGGCTTTCTAAACGGTTGGAATTGTCCTCTGCCAGACACAGGGATAGGGAGAATAATTGGCTCTAGTGTTGAAAGTGTCTCTGGCTGCCGTCCCTCAGCTTGGGCTCAGAAATTCCTTTTCATTTGCAGACACTGGCTCGCCTCCTGAAAAGTTCCCATCCTGAGGATCTCCGGGCTGCCAACAAGCTCATCAAGGAGATGGTTCAGGAGGTGTGACTGGGGAAGAAGGGAGCTGGGGAGTCATGGTCTGGGTGGTGATGGTTGGCACTGGCTTTGTGACCTCATGCAGACATACGGAGCTTCTGCCCAAAATTCGGCTGCAGCAGCAGCTGTGAAAGAGTCCTTGTGTGAGTTCTGCCATCCCCTGGCTACTTGGAGGAATGGCTCTGGGTGCATTTTGTGACCCAAGCCCTGCTGCAGCACTAGATCTACAGCAATTCCATCCCTGTCTGGCATATTGCTGCCCAGAGATGACCTGGAGTTTTCCACTGGAGTGGGAGCTGTTTTGAGGGCAGTGTTGCTGGCTTTAGTCCAGGATAGTTGGCTGGCCTGGCCTTCCTCCTCTCCAAGTTAGGACATCCTTCCCCATGTGCTTCCCCTCCAGGACCAAAAGCGCATGGAGAAGATCTCCAAGAGGGTGAATGCCATTGAGGAGGTGAACAACAACGTGAAGCTGCTGACGGAGATGGTGACAAACTACAGCAAGGGAGAGACAACAGAAAGCAATGAGGACCTAATGAAGGTAAGGAAAGGCAATCCCAGAATCCTTCTTGGGCTTAGCAGAAATGGGTGACCCTTATTCCCTCATCCTCCTGCCTATTTTGCACACCCAGCTGAGCATCCTGCTCACCTCATCACTGTTTCTCCACTCCCCAGGAGCTGTATCAGCGCTGTGAGCGCATGAGGCCCATGCTTTTCCGGCTGGCCAGTGACACAGAAGACAATGATGAAGCTCTAGGTAAACATATCTGGCATTTCTCATCCCAGCTGAGACTGCCCTGGAGGTGTCAATGTACCCTGATGCCGCCTGCAGCAGCAATGGGGAAAACGCTCTCTGCAGCGGTTTCGTTTGCAGAAACTTGGGCCCTGCTTTGAAGAAACAGACAGACTTGGGGTGTAAAAGTTACTGTCTTAACTATTTTCACACTTATTTTCAGCGGAGATTCTGCAAGCCAATGACAATCTGACCCAGGTGATCAATCTCTACAAGCAGCTTGTACGGGGAGAAGAGATCAATGGGGAGACGGTGGCCAGTCCCCTTCGAGGTGAGGAGACTTGAAGAATGGGGACAGGAAGGTCAAGCAGAGGGACCCTGTTGCTGGTTTCCTGCGGAGTAAGAGAAGACTGAGAAGTGGAAAGGGGAAATCTGCAGGAGCTTAGAGTAGGGCTGGTGAGATAAGGAAATGGCTTGTGGATGTGGCTGTTGCATGAAGAAAGGGAACTATAAGGGAGAGCAGGGGGGTGTGAGGAAGGATGGGAACTAGCCTCACCACACTGCATAAGGACGGGATAACGTTTTCAGATTCTTTTTGCAGGCAGCACCTCGGCGCTTCTAGATCTGTCTGGCCTGGAGCTTCCAGCAACATGCCCTTCCTACCCAGCCTTGCCCACCCTTTCAGGTGGCTCAGCAGCCCCCGTGCCTGACCAAGCTGGCTCTGTCTCCTTGCTGGATGATGAACTCATGTCTTTAGGTGAGAAATCCAGAGCAAAAGCTTTGACTCTGCATAGTTCTTCTTTGGCAGGAACACGAATAAGAGAGAGTGCTGGTAGAAGTGAATAATGAAAGACAAAGAGGTGTCCTTCACTTAGTGTGAGAGAGAGCAGGGAAGAAGACCCTGCTGTGATTCTGAACTTCAGTCCCATGGTGTTTTCCTGGCTAGTCAGAGAGAGCCTGTAGGGATGTTCCCACTGATTTGCTCTGGGTAAACTGACTTGGCAGGTAAATCAAGAGTGATGCAATGGCCATCCCCAGATGGTTTCACAAGGGTGGGTCACCCCCAGCTCCTCATGTTTTCTGCTTGCTGTTGAAGTCATGAGTTGACAACAGATGCATGGGACTTTGAGAACTGTTCACATGAAATCATGTGAGTGCCAATCTTAGAAGGCTCTAGAGTCCTGCTTTGCACGACAGAGTGTCTGTTTCCTTAGACAAGCGCTTTTGAGTACAACAGCATCAAACAGACAACATGGTCAGTCAGACTGGTCAGCTCAGTAGTATTCATTTTTCTGCCAATTGCAGTGAGAACTAAACTGTAAATGAAGCTCTCTGGACATAAAAAAAGCCACTATCACCCTTCTGGCTCTCCCCC